TCCATCAACATAATACCTGGCTTTCAACACTCGAGCACATAGTGAGGCGGGTTCCTGGAACAGTCTCCAGGCTTGTTTGGCAAGCATGTCTTGGTTGAAAGCCTCCGGATCTCTAAAACCCGCTCCTCCTTCATGCTTTCTTGTACACATTTTGTCCCAGGCGATCCAATGCACCCTCTTCTTACCATTTGCTTCACCCCACCAGAAGTTCGATGAAATAGAAGACAGGTTCCCGCACATTTTCTTCGTGAGTTGAAAACAGTGCATGGTAAAAGTTGGTGTAGATTGGAGGCCCGACTTGACGAGAATTTCCCTTGCGGTCTTGGATAGTCCTTGCCCTTTCCATCCTGAAACCTTCCCCCTCGCACTTGTCTCAACATATTTGAAGGTTTCGTCCTTCGACTTCCCCACCACCGTGGGTAGTCTAAGATATCTCTCGCTCAGTGCCTCCTCCAAAACCCCTAGCACCTGTTTTAGTTCCTCCTTTTTCTCATCTGGTGTTCCTTTTCCAAAGAAAATTGCAGATTTGTGGAGGTTGACTTTCTGTCCCGAGGCATCCTCATACTCTTTAAGGATGGACCATAAAGCCTCAAAGTTATCTCGCGAGCCCTCCACAAACACCACACTATCATCAGCAAAGAGGAGGTGAGTCACCGTAGGTCCACTACTCCCGAAAGCCAATCCCTTAACTTGCTTCTCCTGTTGCGCAACCCTCAAGAGCGCTGAGAACCCTTCCACACAGAACAAGAAGAGGTATGGGGAGAGGGGATCACCCTGGCGCAGCCCTCTGGACGGGTTGAAATGTTGAGAAAGACCACCGTTCAACTTAACTGAAAAAGTTGCTGATTTCACACACCGCATGACCATCTATGTCCAGTGATCAGAGAAGCCAAATTTCATCATCATTTTCTCCAGGAAATCCCACTCCACCCGATCATATGCCTTCATCATATCCAACTTTACTGCACACATCGGCTTTTTCCTTTTCCTCTTCCTGATTGCATGAACACATTCGTAGGCCACTAGCACATTATCCGTTATTAATCTTCCTGGTACAAAAGCACTCTGTTCATCAGATATCATAAAAGGAAGCACAACTTTTAAATGGTTGGCCAGTGCCTTAGCCGCAATCTTATAAAGAACATTACATAAGCTAATTGGGCGAAACTGTGAAAGTAACTCCGGTGAGTTTACTTTCGGAATCATAACAATGATGGTGTCATTAAATCTGTTCGATGCAACCTTCCCTGCCAAAAACTCTCTTACCGCACCACATACATCACTCTTAACCAACTGCCAGCGCCGTTGGTAGAACATGGCCGGTAATTCGTCCGGTCCCGTCGCCTTTGTAGGCCCCATTTGGAATAGGGCCGTCTCAATCTCCTCATCTGTGAAAGGCGCACCAAGGTTTCCATTCATCTCATCCGTAACCACTCTCTCAATATGCTGTAGCACCCTGTCACTGCCCGTCGACCCTTCAGAAGCAAAGAGGTTGGCGTAGAATTGAGCGGCCATCATGTGCATACCCTCATCATCTGTACACTTTGACCCATCTTCCTTCCTTAGCGCCTTTACCGTATTTTTTCTTTTCCGATGCGAGGCTCTATTTTGGAAGTACCGTGTGTTTTGGTCACCCTCTGCTAGCCATTCAACCCTTGATATTTGCTTGTAATACACCTCTTCCCTCTCATATAGCTCATGCAGCTGGTCTTCAATCTCCTTCACTTCTTGTCTGTAACCTGACTTTGCAGCTCGTTCCTTAGCATCTACAAGCTGTCCTTTCAAGTGCGCAATCTGTATTTTAATTGAGCCAAAAACCCTTCGGCTCCACTCTTGCATGGCCATCGAAGCGGTCCGCAGCTGACTGCATGCAGTCTCGAGTTCCCCGTCGTGCTGATTGGCTGCATGGGCCTCACCCCATGCAGCAGCGATCATGTCCTCATACCCCTCATGTCTTGCCCATGCAGCCTCATATAGAAACGCTCTCTGACCCTGGCTCCTCTTCTCAACATTAGTTGTCATTGCTTTGATAAGTAGCGCTTGGTGATCCGACTCCTCCGTCATAATATGTTGCACTTCGACCGCTTGGAAAATCTGCGCAAATTCCGCATTGCATGTCGCCCGGTCCAGTCGAACTTGGATATTGTCGTTCGCATCCCGTTTATTATCCCAAGTAAAAGGGTATCCTGAGAATCCCAAATCAGCTAGCCCGCAGTCGGACAAGCATTCCTCGAAAAGTGCCATCTGGTTCAGAGACCTAGGATTACCACCCTGCTGTTCATTTTTTTGGAGTGCCTCATTAAAGTCCTCCGCGCAGAGCCACGACAGATCATCTTGTGCTCGGAGGTACTGAAGCACATCCCATGTCTTTGTTCTCTTTTCAACACTAGGCTCCCCATAGATTCCAGTGAATCTAAAAGGGACTCCCTCATACACAATCTTTGCATCTATATAATATTGGCACCACGGCCGCACGGTAACATCAACGTGATCCCTCCACCATAGTGCTAGTCCCCCACTTTTACCTTTGCAATCCACCGCTACCCCTTGTCTGAACCCCATGCTCCACTTGAGCCTCTCCATTGCCCCTGACCTCTTCTTTGTTTCTGATAAAAACACCACCGCTGGGTTGTATGACCTAATCAGGTCTCGTAGTTCGCCCACTGCCGAGTCCAACCCCAATCATCGGCAGTTCCAGGCTAGGGCGATCATTGTTCCCGGCGGCCCTGCGCTCTTGCAGGGTCCGCCAATCCATCAGTAGCTTTTGAGATACGGTCAAAAACAGAGCGTTCGTTCTCAGATATTCGATCAAACACCGAGTCCGTCTTCAGCCTCGTGGCCCGAATAAAATTTCCCTGGCTGTCATGCTGGTTGATGTCACCCTTTGCCACCCACATTTGTTTTGGAGCCCTCTTCCTGCTAGTGGGATAGTTGTGATCATAGTTTTGCTTTAGCTGATACTCAAACTCATCCCTCGTTCTCCTCACATAATACCCAGGGCGCCTCTCTCTCTGAAAGTATTGTCCCGAACACCCTGCTCCATCGTAGCTCTTTGCCACATATCTCTTCCTTAGTTCTTGTCTCATATCCATATGTCTGTTCTTTAGCTCGCTCCTTATTTCCTTCTCCTTTCTTCGTTCCAAGTCTTCCCTCAGATCCTTTGTGTGTATCTCATCTCTTCCTTCACCCTCCTGCCAGTTCCTCTTCTCCTTTCCCTTTTCCGCAGCCGGCCAGTGCCGCTGCTTATTTGGGCTGTTTACCTCCTCTTCATCCTCTTCTCGCTGTCGCCAGTGCGGGAATCAGCCGACACGTTGAAGTCCCTATCCAGATTTCTCTTTGTAGGGATATCTCGGACAAAACCAGATCTCCTCCTTTCACCATTGCTCTCGTTAGAGGGAGCACTGTTGAAACTATGGATGTTTTGGCCCCCTCCCTTCTACACCCCGTCCTTGAAAGAGGAAGATCGCCCCGGTGATGCACGGAGCCACTCTCCCCATTGCATATCTGACTACACAGGGGGCACACACCCTTCTGGACCATGAACAAGCCTTCCACAATCAAAACAGAAGTGAGGGATTTTTTCATAAGCAAAGTCGTACCATATTCCTTCAGGATCGTCTTCTGTCTCCTTCAAATTGAAACCCCTCACAAGGGGCTCGAAGATGGACAGCTTTGTGCGAACCCTAAGGCGCGCTCCTTTAATTGATCCATCTTTCCCCACGTCCACCCGTATCGCTCAACCTAGCCAGTTCCCTAAGGCCTTTCCAAAAGCCTCTGTTCTATTATCCAGGGGAAGGTCAGTAACCCTAACCCAAACCTCCACTGAATCAAAAACCATCTCAGACGGCCTAGTATTACCTTCATACTCCTTCAACACAACCACATTGAAATCAAACTGCCACGGTCCTCCATTAAGCACATGCTTCCAATCACCCTCACTTCCAAAGTGTACCACAAATTTGCTCCCCCCAATATCGCTGAACTTTGCTTCCTTGTGGAGGCCCCAAGCTCTCTGCATAGATTTTTCTAGGGCTTTGAAGTTCATTGGCCTGGGAGTGAAAGCTTTTCCAATGATCGACCACTTTGTAGCCTTAGGCAACTCCTTCCTGCTTCCACCGAAAACAAAACCGGATGATTCCTTCTCTGTAAGAATTAGCCCACCCATCCGATCTGAAAGTCCCGCTGCCTCCGCTGACTCCTTGCCTTCTGTCGGGGGCGTCGATGAAGTTCTGCTTCTCCCTGCGGACGCCATCTTCCCTATCTTTCAATCCTTTCGGAGTCGTCCTTTGCGCCGGCGTTTTCATGGCCGTCGCATTAGAGGCCCTACTCTTCTCCGTCGCACGGGGGGTTATCCTCGACCCATGGGTCTCCATCCCACCCTTGCCGCTTTTCTCCGCCATGGAAAAACCACGGGGTCAAGCACCCAATCCAATCAGCCCGAACAGGGATCGCCGGCGTCCCTCTCGAACCACCGGAATCCTCACCACCACTGCAAAAACCCTAACCCTAGCGAGTCGGCGGCGGTCGCCTTGCGATCGCCCCCTAATCGCCTCTCCGTGATTTTTGTCAAAGTGGACCCACGCCAAGTTTATTTTTACTACAGTCAACTGCATGAAAAACATTGATGCTGAGTTGCTTATATATAATCCACAGTTCTGCCGCACTCTGTAGTATATCCAGGTGCAACTGATTGCCCCGATGCAGTGCTGAACCTGAACCGATATGGATTACAGGCATTCAGATACATATACCTGTCAAGTCTGTCAACACGATTCAGATACCACACCACAAGCAAAAAGACTGAAGGTGCAGCCACATTATTCACAGGGGACACAAGCATACTTATGTGACTTGAGAACAATCTCAAAACTGCACATTTACAACTCTGCTAGCATCTACATCTGACCTATACAACACACCCCCTCCACTGTGTGTCGAATGTCAATAAACCCGTATCTATCATGTGTAACAAACGTATAGCAACTCAAACTTTCAAATTTTCAAGAATCTGTCCACCCCTCGGGGAGCCGCCACCGCCGGTGCCAGTAAATCGACACCCGGGACCAGAGCGGGAACATGAAGCTGTAGTCCGCGGCCTCATCCGGCACCCCGCCCACCGTCAGCGGCAGCCACACGTAGCGCGAGTCCCGCAGCTCCGAAGGGTTCCACCGGTCGGCCATGAAGATGAAGGAGCCTCTCAGGCCTGGGAGTGGCAGCACGAATGTGCTCTGGGAGAAGAAGGTCGTCGACCGGAATATTTCGTTCCCTCCCACGCAGGGGCTCCCCAGCGTCTCCCAGGGCCCCATGACCGACGTCGCGGCGTGAGCCAGCGCCGTGTTGGGCGCCCACCCCGTGCACCCTGAGGTTATCATGTAGTAGGTGCCGTCAAACTTGAAGAGCGCCGGCGCTTCCCGGTGCTGCGCGATGAGAAACCTCCTCATGTCGTCGGTCAGGTCGAGGTAGTCGTCGGTCAGCTGGCCGATGTGGAGCTCGCTGTTGTCCTCGGATGAGTATATCAGGTAGGCCTTCCCGTTGTCATCCTTGAAAATGGTCATGTCTCTGCTCTCGCAGCCGTGCGGCCGCTTGCTGTAGAGGTAGGAGAACGGGCCTGTGGGGGAGTCGCTGACCGCCACGCCGACCGACGCCTTGGTGTAGTTAGCGTCATCTATGTGCATCCACATCACGTACTTGCCGGTCCGGTCGTTGTAGATCACCTTCGGCCTCTCCAGGACGTTGGATACGTGGAGGTCATGTGTCACGTTCTTTTTCTCGCCGCGGAGCACAACCCCTTCATTTTTCCATGCCCACAGGTCCTTCGAAGAATAGCAACTCACTCCAACAATGTCAACCTGGGAGGTAGTTTATCTTGGTCAGAATGGCATGACAAAACATAGCAGCAAATGACATGGTAAGTTCAACTGCTGAACATCACTAACTTATGTAGTATGTCACAAGCAACAAATGACATAGCAAGTTCAACTGAACATCACTAGATTATGTACCCCCTCCGATCACAACTATAAGATGTTTTAGATATTTCAATATGGGCTGCATACGGACTGAAATGAATGAACAAACACATTAAAATGCGTCTATATACATCCGAATCAGAAAAAAGTTAGAAGATCGTATAATAGTAAACGGAGGGAGTATGTCCGAAGCAAGATGCAAGTGTATGTCTACATAGTGGTGCATTTTCATGGTCTATAGATGTGTACTCTGTAAGGATGTGTAAGTAAAACTCTAACCAGGAATCCTTGATGGTCTAGAAAAAATTGTTTCACACCAAATCAGAACTGCACATTTTCTTAATTTTTGAAATCCAGTGTCAAATTCCTATTAAAATTGATTAGTTGATAGTATTAGATGCTGTGTGGCACTATTGCGGTCCCCTTGGGTTAGTTAAACGAAAGAACTATGATCATGGTAAATTTCCTAAACCAACTGCCTAACTTGTTTCCCACAAAAGGAAAAAAGTAACTCCCTAACTTCTTGAAAAACCTACAATAGTCTTCTTAGAAAATGCACAAGCATTGTCTTTCTAATTCTATTGATACTTGACTGCACAATCATGTATCTGCCATCTAATTCTGCTGACACTGGATTGCAACAACTTGACACTGAATAACGGTTTTTCTAGATGATGCGCAGGCATTGTGTGTCTTCTTGCTTAAAATGTTCAAACAAAATAACTAGGAATGGACACAGAGTATTCTTTTATGCAACCGAATAGCATCAGACCAAAAATGTCCAAACAATTATCACATGATAAGGTATCGAAGATATTATCTACTCCCTCTGTAAACTAATATAAGAGTGTTTAGATCACTATTTTAGTATTCTAAACACTCTTATATTAGTTTACGGAGGGAGTATTTGTTATCCCTAAAATTTATACTACATTAACCTACGTTTCTAGTGACCTGCCTTCACGCAGCCCGGGTAACGTCCTTACCTTCAGAACCGAAAATTACTTCCAACATGTCCCCTAGCAACTGGGCCTCAGCGACAGAATCTAGATGCATTTAGAAAAAATTAGATGCATGCATTAGCACACACTACTCCACAGGTACTGAAACCCTTGCAACGTTATTTAGAAAAAGGGAAATAGGCTTACTAAAACGTTTGTAGAATTATACAATTTTTGTTGTGTGTGAATGATATTGCCAACTCCATCGACTGAATCTTGTATACAGGAATACAGATTTTGATTATCTGAGAATAGTGTAGTCCGTCTGTTGGCATGTTTTCCTTAATCTTGCAGCCAGGCATAGGACTGGTGTAGTGACACAAAATATACTTGATCATTTCCCACCCATTTTGTTTACAATTTGACTACGCTGCTAGGCCTACTCACACGTATATCAGGCTCATGTGCACTAAAAGAGGGCTGATCAATTCTGCTTCTGTACATATTGTCTGATGCATTAGTGAAGAGTAGAGCAAATAAATGTAAATGCAATGTCTGGCTCTAAATTCAGTTAGGGGTACGTTTCGAGTACGGCAAATCTGCAATAATGTATGTTCTCTGATTAATCCACCAAAATGATACGGAAGCTCTTCAGGAGTGACATACAAATGATAACAGAAAATATTCAGAGCGTCAGAACAGTTCGACTTACTCGATCAGCACCCTTGCTGTGAGCCTTGTAAGTCTTGCCATCCTTGTTCTCCCCGTACCAGAAGTAGGTCTCGGTCCTCTCATCGTACAGCACGCCGCCTCCGTGAGCCTGGATCGGCTTGCCGTCGGTGTCAAGCCACACCCTCCCGGGGTGGTAGAAGTACATGCTGTCGTTGCCGCCGTGGACAGGATCGATGGCCGTCCTCGGCTCCGGGAAGAACATGTCGTGCACGGCCGAGGACTCGTCCAGGAACTCATCCACCACGGACAGCGGCTTGGTGTGCTCCCCCTTGCGCCGCACGGCCCGCGGGTTCCTCCGGCTCCGGGCGGGCGTCACCTGGAACCTCTCCTCCTCCACCACCTCCAGCTCCCTGAGGATCGCCCGGTGGATCTCGCGGGGCCTGCCGCCCTGGTCATCCTTGCCGTGGGTGACGAGCAGGTGGAAGTTCAGAAGGACCAGCAGCGCCGCCAGGCACCACACCAGCAGGGTCAGGGAGCGGTGGCTCGCCGCGTAGCAGTAGCAGCGCAGGGCCAGAGATTTGGGATGGTGCTTGCTCCTCGCGCCCATGGCCATGCTGCCGCCGCTCATCCGCTCCGGCTGGCACGCGCTGCGGCAGGAGAAGGAAGAAATGATGCCTTATCAGACTGTAAAGAGATAGAATTTGGAAATTTGCGGAAAATGAGCAGGCTCGCGGCTACATGTGTCAAATCAAGAAAGAAACAGAGGTTCGCTGGGACAAGTCCAGCATTTCGCGGGCGCCAGATTCCATCCCCAATTTGGCGCAGCATGGCCAGAAATTTCCCATGTTTTGTCACGAGATGATTTCGGGAAGGTTTGCCAAAGCAGAGCACATCCTCTTCTCAGGTAAGCTCAGCTGGAGCAAGTCAAGACGGGGAGCTGTACTAGGAATCCGGCGAAATTGGCGCCAAGAACAGAGGACAGTTCAAGAAACTACCCACTCAGCACGCAAACGAAATGAAAAGGAAAAAGGAGCAGCAAAAGAAAGAGAAGCCAACTAAGCTCACCAAGCCACCATGGCGGGTTGATCCAGGGAGCGGAAGAGGACGAGCTAAAAAAAGCTAAGCTAAGCCCAATCCCGCCTGGTAAGTACTACCACCTACCAGCAGAAGAAGAATAAGAATAACCTCCCCAGCAAGCGATTAAAGAAATCGGCGGCGCTCACTCACCATGGGCGGGCCGGTGCTCCGGCCCCGAGATCCCGTCAGACGATGATGGGGAGGGAGATGCTCTCTCTGATTAGATTAGGCGGAGCTGCGATCTGGCTCCCGGGGAGATCATGGAGGGGCTCGCTTGGCTTGAGCGGCTGGCAATGCGAGTCGTCTAGTGGCGAATCGCGGCGACGACGAGCGCCTCTGCTTTACTCTGGCTCCTGGTGGTCGCGGTCACGGACAGTGGAGCTGCGGGGGCGGGCCGCTCCTGGAAAGGTCGCCCGTCACGTAATGGTGGGTGGGGGTGGCGGATTGGCGGGGCGGAAGACACCTGTGCTGCGGCCGCTGTGCGGCGGGCGTGCCCTGCGGCTCGGGTCGGGGACGGGTTGGGGATGGGGATGGTCGCCCGCGGCAGGTGGCCGCCGTGCTTGACATGTCTTGGCTACTCACATCATTGTTTTTTAAACGTAGGCGAAAAAATTTCTCGTCCCACGTTAATTAACGAGGTTCCAGAGCATCTCCGGAGCTAGCTCCATATTTTAAGCCCTCGAAAGCAAAACAGTCTTGCTGCTATATCCGTGAGGTTTTATATTAAGATCCGTGCAAAAAAAAATCTTGGCATTTTCTTTTTCTTCTTCCATGTTATATCACTTGACTTAGTTAAATCTCAGTCGACTGAGATCTAGCCACACCCAAAGCAAAATGAGCTGCTCCATTTACAGGGATGAAGAGAAAAAAAAACACCAACTCAGCGACACTACCTCTTTTCCGTTTTTATTAGGCCTGCGTGTATTTCTATAGTAATAACAATTTGATCAACATAGTATAACTTGTACGGAGTATTATAAACTTCAAATGATGTAATTTTAGTGGTATGCATTTTGAGATTTATTACTTGCTGGTTAAATTATCAATCTAGGATACCCGCAAGCCTAGTAAATCCGAAGGAGGCAGTAGATCATATATCTTTTTAACCTGTATGTTGTGTTGTGTGCTCACTTTTGCATTGAGCGCAGATACCATTAGCTTGTTGTTTAATTTGCATTTTCATTTTTCCTTCATCTTCACCAAATGCTCAGTAGAGCGTTGCACTGCTGGGCAGCACTAGGATGCGGCGGAGAGCGGTCTTGCTTTGGGACAGCCGGAGGCGGACGAAGCAGAGCTCCGACTCAGGGATGCCAGAGGTGGACAGCGGCGTTGCGGAGGTGCGTAAGGAGGTGAGACAGCGTCAAGGACGCAGAATGAGAGACCGCATCGAGAAGGATGAAGGTGGACGATGACATAATGTTGGTTGAGCTAGGGTTTCAGATGCAGGGGTCGGGCGGCTAAAGACGAGGCAGGTTGTCGAGGGGATGGGAATGGAGGAGAGGGAATAGTTGGAGGTGGTGCACGTGACGATGAGAGAGGAGCACAGTGACTACATGACCGCTGACACATGGGAGGACAGGAAGGTGTTGGGGACATAACACGGAATTTCTTCCCGCCTTGCCAACTATCTTACGAGGACCATGTAGAAGAGGCCCCAATTGCAAGGGCTATGTAATGGGGTTTTTCCCTTCCTATTCTAGAGGCCATAGTTGGAGCTCAGCTAGACTTGTTTTATCTTCTTTTTCTCTTTTGCCTTTGTGTGCATCTGTGATGGCTATCTATGTGCACTAATAAAGAAAGACAAAAAAATTAAAAACTAGTTGAGGGATTTCTTTTAATAATAAGCGCTAACTACTAGTGATAAACACATCTTCTATATCTAAATAGGAGCACTCCACTAGGTCATTTTCCTGCATTCTCATGAAGCCATATCACTCAAATTGTTACAGCCGTTGATGCAGTATAGCCCAGGAGTCTGCAGCCGTCAGATCTAAAGTTCATGAAATTATAAGACCTACCACCGCTAAGTGGAAGATACTGATTCGTTCGTTCCAGCTGTCCCGCTCGCTGCCTGCCTCCGCCTTGATTTGTTTTAGTTTTTCTTTTGGGTGGACTGCTAGAGAAACAAAATAAGAAATTGCAATCAAATCCTCTTGTTTTACATTCAACACCCCATAAAAAGAAACCAAAACACAGTCAAATCATGAAGGTTTGGGCGACCTTGTTGAAGGTGACCTCACCTGAGATGGATTGGCCACCATCTCCAAACACAACCTTGCCAGCACATGCCAAGGAAAAAAGGGCCTGCCATCAGAGGGTTGAATATGGCCGTTGGGATTTGCCCTCAAATCCATTTGAGGGTTGCATTAGATTCAAGCCACCCAAATCACTCGCCAAAGACAATATTGTGTTTGATACGAAGCTCTCGTGCCGAAGGTCGAAACAGAAGCATAAGATGTTGATGATGAGAGCCGATGACAACAATAGATCCTTGGGCTTGGCTTAGATTCAGATCATTCTCACCTTTTTCACCACCATGGTGGCAACAAGATAGGGGCGGAACACCTCCAAATACCTTGAGATCCATCGCAAAGAACGACCTGATTTTCAAAGTCGTTGCATGACCCCACCCCAACAGCACCCCCCTCACACCCCTACGGGCGTGCGCGCGCGCGCACACACACACACATATGAAACAGGAGCTAGGGAAGTGCATCTCCAGTACCGCACGCCACTCACAAGTAGTGGCGCGCCGCTTCTCCACAACATGCAACCAAATCACCGCATAGTGTCGGTCACACACGCGACAAGATCCAATAACATAACTAAGATAACACTACCTTGTACATCAAACCCAGGCTCCACTCCCATTCCCACTCCGGCGGGCGACACTACCGAAGGGAAGCTAAGGGACCCGAGCAGCTCGAGAATTCATAACTAACCTCACC